GATTTCTATAACATGGTTTCTGAAGTTCTGAAATTGTTTGAATATCAACCTCACTCCATTCAACTGCCTGCCTTCAAACTTCAAACTTCGTGTTGTAGAATTGGTGAACGGCGGCTCCTTGGGTTCTACATCTGTCTTATTAGAATACGTTCTGAGTTGGAATGGTCACAATTATCTTCCTGGTTTGAAAAGCCTGAAAGGACAGAGATACGATTAATTAATTGATCTGGTCTCAAGTTAGTATTACTGCATCTGATCTGGGGAAAGCTTCCCGAGTATAGCCCATCGGTACCGTAGGACTCGAGGTGTTCATCCAGCCTCCTTTCAAAGGTGTCAGGGGATGAAGCTGTAACAACTGTTGAAGGGAGGGAATTCCGCAGTTTACAGACTCCAACTGCAAATGAATTAGTACGGATTTTTGTACGTGCTGTCTCATGCCCTATTCTTAACGGGTGACCCTTCGAGTTACGTTTTCGACCAAAGCTTATGAGGGATTTGCTAGGACGGAGGGGGTCGTGGGCGATGCAGTACATCCTGATCATACCACCTTTGATCCTCCGGTGTTGTACTGGGTGCAGCTGAAGAGCAACTAAGCGGTCTGGGTACGGTTTGTGCCGTAGCCCAATCACTTTTGTAACTCTTCTCTGTACCCGTTCTAGGATGGCTATGTCCTTTTTCAAGTATGAGGATATCACAAGCGAGTTTTTTTCTAGATGAGGGTGAATGTACAGAGCATACGCTGTGATGAAAAGAGAAGGATTTAGACGCCCTTAAGTTTGCGAGCGAAACTCCGAGATCCCATAAACCCCATTGGCTGCGAGGCGACAATGAAGTGAAGCTCCTAGTGTACCACTTAGTTTAACTCCCAGGTCTTGTTCCGTGTTAGTGTGACAAATATTTATTTCACCTAGAGAGTAAGAACTGGGACTGCCTTTATGTCTGTCAACTGTCATAATTCGACACTTCTTCGAGCTGAGAGGAGGCAGGTTTTCTGTATTCCAATTAAGGATTTTCGTAAGGTCCTCCTAGAAGATTGAAATATCCGTTGGTTCCTATGTTTCCCTCCAGATTTTCAGATCATCTTCATATGGTAGTGAATGTGAATAAGGACCCCTGGTAGGTCATTAATAAAAGCAAAAACAGTAGCGGGCCCAGCATAGAACCTTGAGGCACACCACTCAGCATCGAGAACCAATCAGATAGAGAGGAGCCGACTCTAACTGGCTGCACCCTGGTGTACAGATAATCTCTAAGCCAGATTGATAATTTTCTGTGTACACCCATGAGCTGGAGTTTCTTACAAAGGATATCATGATTCGCCCTGCCAAAGACCTTAGAAAAGTCAAGTAAACCAATGTGTATGAGCTTTTTCTGCTCGACAGAGACTGCCCAGCCATTCCAAGCTATCAACAAGTTGGTGTTACATGACCTTCCTGGTAGAAAGCTATGCTGACAGTCGTTTAGGACTGATTTCTGAAGTAAGTGATCACGTAGTGAGTCATTTATGACTCTCTCTATGACTTTCGCAACTGAAGAGATCAGGGAGATTGGTCTGTAGTCGGAGGCCAATAGTTTGTTTCCACCTTTAAAAATTGGGGAGACAGCCACCCGTTTCCAATCAGAGGGTAACCTGCATTCCAGAAACGAGCATTTGAAGAGGTTTGCTGGTGGGGCGCGTAGAACTTCAGCACACTTTTTGAGTGCTCTTGGGTGAATCCCACCTATTCCTGGAGCCTTATTCGGGTTCAGTTTCTTTAATATTTCCATAATTGCAGAGGGTTTAAACTCTATATGATTCAGTCCCTCTGTAGTATGGGTGTCCGACAGAGGTAAGGTTTTGCCTCTCAAATGACAGAAGTCGTTTTGGAATTCATGAGCTAGTAGGTTTGCAACTTCGGAGTTGGAATAGAGAATCTCCAAACTGATGGGATCCTGTAAGCCAAGTAAACTGTTACTCTTCTGCTTCATCAACGAGTGCAGTATCCGATGATTCCCCTCCAGGGTTCTACAGTTGTGTCTGGTGGTTTATTCTGTCATTTCTGATCCTCACTGAACATTTGTTACGGATGTCTTTATAAGTTAGCCAGTCAAAAGGGCCATTAGTGCACCTCCATAGATTCCAAGACTACCGTTTACGCCGTGTTAGTTTGCGCGTGCTTGACTTAAGCCAGGAGGAGTAGAACTTGTTAGTTCTTCTTGGAATCAGGCCAGTGGTGTCCTCAACAGATCCCATCTAGCATCAAGTTTCAGCAGGTCATCGCAATTTCGGCAAGCGGGACCTTCTGGATCCTGCCTAATCTTCTCGAAATCAGTTCTCTTGTAATTCCTGGCTGGTAGATGATCAAGAACGGGTGGCTTAGATGCAGAAATATTGGAAGAGAAAATTGCATGGTCACACATGCCAAGAGGGCCGAAAACATTCAAGTTGCTTACCAGGATGAATTAGTTTGTGAAAATATAGTCTAGTCGGGATGCCTTACCGTCAGGCCCCCAGCGAGTACACTGAGAAACAAGTTCTGTCAAGGAGTTTTCCAGTAACGATTACCGAAAGTCTTTTAGGGCAGTAGATGGACTTCCTGTGGTAAACAGTTGAGGAAAGTTAAAATCTCCCATAATGAGGACCAGCGGAAGTTCAGTTCCAAGGCTCCTTTAATGGACTGTAGTAACATTTTATTTAGCGTGGCATCAGCTGCCGGAAGGCGGTATAAAACTCCAACTGAACACGGACCCCCACAGCACTTGATACTACGCCAAAGGACATCTTAAATGCCAACTCTATGAGATTGAATCTCATGGACTTTTAAGGAAGGGCAGGTGTAAAGAGCAACGCCACCTCTTGGACCCTCCAGTCTATCCTTTCGGATTACGCTGAGCTGTCCTAGAAGGACTTCCTCGTCTTTTATGTTCTCTAGGAGCTATGTTTCACAGAAGGCCATCATGCTAGGGCTATCCTCATCCACTTATAACCTTAACTCGGGTACCTTGGAGTGTAGGCGTCGTACATTACTGTAGGTAAAGCGAATAAGAGCATGATTGTCGGAGGTTTCAGAAACCGGTTGAGTTGAGGGTGAGTCGCCGGCCTTTAAATGGCCGGCTTTGACAAGTTTTTTGACAGGGCGATGGAACCAAGGGCTACTGTATCCACTGGCCTCTTTGACTGAGAACTGGTGCAGGGTTCTTCAGTCTGGAAGAAGGTCGATAAAAACTCTTGCTCATCGTCCAACCGTTCTATCTTTAAATGTGGCCAATGGCAAGCACTTGAATCGCCTGTCAGTCTGCCTTTGTTCCCTGTGTCTGCACTCGCTTATCTTTATTTCTCTAGGGAATGTATCAGACACATTATACCAGGATTCCAAGGTAGTTCTAACCACGTCCGGAGAGTCAAGGGTTACTTGGAGTAGCCTAGGAGTACGTATAGTCGAGGTGAGCCGGCCTTGGAAGATGATTAATTCTTTCAGCCCTCACATGGACCTGGAGTTTGCTGACAACATATCTCCACTGATTTATGTCGTGGATAAGTTCGGCAGTATCGGTGCTCGAACATTCGGGAATCCCGTGTAAAATTACCGAGCAGCATAACTTGAGAGTGAATCTTCTTGCTGTTGCGAAGGAGTTCTCGCACTGACCAGGGCCTATCAGGCCTAATCCTGACTTGAGACAGTACACGTTTCACCAACTGATGACCTTTCAGAAGGATGTGTTCTGACGGACGTGTACTACCAAGAGATACTCTTAAAGGTCTAGGAGAGCCTTTGGGGAAGAACTTACTACGCGCTAAGCGTTGAAGAGATGGACTGCAGGGAGAGGTTCCTATGAGTTTGCAAACACTCTCCCATTGGTCATGGTCATGTTCTTCACGATCAGTCAATAGGGAGCAGCCTTGTTTCATGAACGGTGAAGAGTATGGGCGATCTAAGATTAGGATTATGGTCTGTATTTTGAAGCTTATTCCTACCTGTAAATACAGACTCAGATTTCTGATTAGCCTTTTGAGAGTGACTTCGAAGACTTAAGGTACAGGCTGTGGGAGTTTTCTTGATGGTTGAACGAGGCTGGTGGTGAAATGCAGGTGGCTTCCGCCCTGAGTTACAAGTGGTGAGACCAAGATCTGCTTTTTTCGGAACATTTTTCACCTGAGTAGGAGGGGTAACGTTCAACTTATTTTTCGGCTTCCCATTAGGCTGAGTAGTCGTTACTGTGCCAGTCTTACGATCGTTACCTAACGTTCCATTTTTAACTGATCTGACCCGCCTATATTTCTTCTGACCTTTCTTTCGGCGCTTATCAGGTGTGAGATCCCCACTCATCACTGAGGGGATCTGCTCCAAAGGCATGCTAACGGGAAGACGGTCCGTGGCAGTGATGAATTTGCTACTTCCATTACTGCCAACTTGAGGGATCTTTTTATGGCAATGAGGCTTCTTTAGATTGAGGCTGGTTTGTGTAGAGATCTCAGCTGTAAGGTGGTCGGAGTTCTGTCTCACTGGTCTAGGCCTATTTGGTACCTACTTTTGGACCTACAACATGGACAAAAATACCAATCACTATCAGACTGGCCATCGAGCAGTGATTAATAATAACCAGATGGCTGGCTGGGACCACAGGAGCAGTCAGTCCATAGAGAGCAAAGCTCATAATCCATCGCCTTAGTTGGGAAGCTGACATTTCTGCGACAAACCATGCAGACATCCTTTGAAACTGTCATTAAGCTGAATGAATGGCAAATAAACGTTTGTTCAAGGAGTTCTGAACCTTGCACAGTAAATATAACAAACTAATCAAAATTTGTCAAAACCCACTGACCTTTTTGAAGCGCGCACGTCCTATATTCCTTTGAGTTGTGCCTAAAAGCTTATACCGTCCATTATATCTATATTTAATAACGCTTTGTGCCTGCTGAACAACCTTATTAGCCGATCGTTTGTGTATTCTTGCATGTGACTTTCATGAAGCTGATATTGGAGGATGTATCTTTTTGTTTTATATATTGAAGGTCGGCCATAGTAAAGTTCGAAAAATGAAGATTGGTGAACTAAGGCCAGAGCAGTCAGCTACCGTTGAGGCTCTAGTGCGTGAACTGCAAAACCTAGATAGCAATGCGTTTCCTGCTCTACACTCTTTGGCAGAAAATGGTAGGTTCTACATACCAATTTAATTAGTTCTTAGAACTTTTCCGTTTACGTGGCGGGATCGCAGACTCCTTCGATCTGGTTAGTAACAAGCCTGTAAAGGTGAGAGCGAAAATCGAGATACCGCAGGCCCAGTACCCAGCTATAAACTTCGTCGGAAAACTCCTAGGTCCAGGTGGTCAAACCCTGCGGTCGGTTCAGGAATCAACCAAGACTAAAATGGCAATTTTGGGAGCTGGTTCTCTAAGAGATGATGCGAGAGAAAAACAGCTTTTATCCAATGGTGACCCAAAATACCAACACCTAAAGCAAAAGTTGCACCTTCAAATAGACAGTCTAGGTGCCCCGTCTGAATCCTGCTATCGGCTAGCACACGCCCTGTCGGAAGTCCGAAAAATTATGCTGCCAGTAAGTTAGGTTTACCACAGTAACGTATTCTTTAAGGACCAGCCTGAATCTTCAACCCAGTCTTGGACACAGCCAAACGAAACCTCACCTGTGATCCCCAGAGGTGCACCTGTCGTGAGGAATGTTAAGCATACATTTCGCGCTCCACCTTTTTCCATTCCTTTTTCTACACCCCCAGTCCAGCTTCCTTTTCGTGGTCGAGGTAAACCTTGGGTTGGTAGAGGTGTTATGAAGAACGGTATAAATGTCCAACCGCAAGCCACTATCACTCCCGAAGTGTTCTCTAACGATGTCAACCCAATCACGTTTTCTTCAATACCCGTATACGACCAAACAGACTTCAACCCTCATACGTTTGAAGATTTTGGAATAAACTATGGTAGGTCTGGTGACATCTTTCTCTTCAGTGTTTTTGAAGTATTTTCGGGGCTTAACTGAAGTCTAAATTTTTGATCTAGGACAAGACGATACGTGGGGAAAAGCCAGCATCTCAGAATCTCGTGGACGAGGCCGAGGCCATCCCTACGCGCGTCCAGGAATCAGTAATGATCACAATTTTGGGTAAATAATTAATTTGACCATGAGGCTCCGTCATCAATAAGTAATTCAATATGACAATGAAGCCAGAGGTGCATTTCACGTGTGTTTTCACCTATGAACTACCACTAAACTCGGTAAAATTGCTTAAATTGTCTAATTGCTTCTCTGTAGTACTGTCTCTAAATATGTATTTACAAAAACTTTTTAAATTCACTAACTAAATAAATACCATAATACCTCTGTCATGATCCTGACTCCGGATACTTTGACTTCTCTTACATTCACTCAAAATAAACTTTTAAAATATTGCAATGTTAATATGTTTGACAGCAAGATATATGCTTCTCGTCTTGTTTCAGTGTCTACAGTGGTAATATTGAGCATCATTCTAGTCTAACTTGCAATGGACAATATATGTTCATCCTTTCGATGCGATATAGTGTTTTGTCATTTCAGTAGCTTACGTTTTCACTTAAGCTGCAGAAAGTTTTTTAACATGAACTACACAAAAGTCATGTAGTTCTATGCTCATGCACCTTTGTTTATTATGGGCACGGTAAATCCTTGATGCAGATACCGTTGGGTTTACCTGACGTTTTCGGTTGACTGTTCATCTGGCATTCTAACCCGATGACTGCTTAGAGCATGTGCGTAGTCGCTCGATGGCTGTTTAACGTCTACGTTCACCTCGAGGTCCCACGTGACTTTGGTTATGACTCATCTAACTACACTGCTGCACATTCTTAAAGCAAGTCTCATAGTCACATGTAAACTTTTCGAAGGCTAGTGTCTTTTCTGAACAGTACTACTGATCCGCAAGTGAACGTGTAAACCCCTGCACCCAGTTCACCAGGTGTAGGAGCACGGAATTACCAGTCCTCATTACCCCAACATAACGGGGTTGTTTCCGTATGTGACAGAATGAAAGCAGATGTCAGTGGACACGGGTGAAGTGAACAAATTGGTGGGCCTTAGTCCCACATTATCCGTTCATATGGCCCTTGCGATCCCAAATGGTGTGTGCTGCGGCGGGCGTGATGACCTTCCGCTGCACTGTGGATCACACCGAAACCAATCCCCGTAATGGGACCACTCAGGGTAACTGTCTGCATCTCTCAAAGCTATCAGCTATCAACAATCTCTAAGCAAGTTATGAATTAGCACAATGAAAAACGCGATTCACCAGATCTTCCTAGAAAATAAATATTCAACTTGTCACGCCTGATTCATAATTATTATTGTATCGGAACGATAGGATATATTCGTAATTTTCAAATAACGCCTTCGCTGTTTACTTCTATTCAACTAGTCAGTTTGCAGTGTGTTGAGTTGCTAAACCTTTTTTCCAAATTCGAAGTAGCTATATTTCAGTGCGACATTTAAATCAAATTTAAGGGAAAGACGCGTACTTACTATGCTGACTACCATCAGCGTCCAGACCGAACAGATCAGAAAATAGACACGTTCAACTAGGACCCCTGAGAGTCTTTATATTAATGTATGCCACATTCTGGGTAGACGAAATTTCACCGAAATGCAAGCTGTTACTCTCGGACAAGTTTGTGCTAATGCTTTGCCTAACAATGATAAATTATGCGGTTGCTTGCGTTAAACATTTCATTTGCTCGGGAAGTCGAATCAACCTCAGTGAGTGAGTGATCAACGAAATTTGGGAACGGATACAAAAGGCTCGCTTGGCCTTCACCACTTATAGCAAGATCATGATGTCCGTTTGCCTATAGAGGGTCTAGCGTGCTACGCTGCAGCTCGCTCTGTTCTACACTATGGCTGTGAAACAGCCATAAAAGGTAGAAATCACGAAAAGGTTATCTTGGTAGCATACACGGTGTATCATGCTGTCACCACGTCAGCAACGTAGAAGTCAGGCGTGAAGTTCTAGGGAAAAGAGGAAAGTCAGTCGATGAGGTTGTGGACTTTCATGCACTCAGGTACCTGGGACATGTGTTACGCATACTTAGTCACCATCCGCCCTGTCACACATTGTTAGCTGATGTAGGTTCGGGTTGGAAAAAGGTTTGAGATCAAGACGAAGACATGGCATCAGTTCATAAAGTCTCTGACTGTTGGCTTAAGCTGTGTGGGGGAAGGTAGACCTTCTGTTGTGAACCACGTGATGACGGCGATTTCTAAACTCTAGATGATATGGCTCAGGATTTATCTCTGGCACAGATGTATCCACTCGTTATCCTTACTGTGACCATCTTGCCGGATTTTATTACTATTTCTGTCATTGCCTCTTCACGACTTTGCCATTTTCGATCGCTCTCTCCGCCTTTTATTTTGTTATCTTGGTGTGTTGACATCAAATGTGACAACACAGAGCGTTAGGCATTAATGCCAGGTCACACGTTTAACCTGACTGACCATTCTTTGCTAGCCTCAGTTTATCGTTCAGTCGTCGCTGTTTAACTTGCTGCTGGCACTCTGTCACTGAAAACGGAATTAACTTGTGAGACTGTGGATGTTTTGAAAGGCTGAAGCACCCTTCTGAAATCTGACTGCTCATCAGTGTGAACTGTATCATTGACTGTCATCAGAAATGTCCTCCTAAACCGATTTGTGTAAATGGATTGGTTGCTCCCACATTTGCAATAAAATATCAAAGTGAGTTAGACACAGTTTTTTTCCAACATCGATAGTTGTAGATTTGTTTCTCCTGCACCTACAAAACGTCAACATCCTGCTGCTCCAGTGACATCGACTTCAGTATCTGGCGCTTAATGGTCGGTTAAAACTGACCTGCTTTGCAAAACGGCGGTCTATGGACGACTTCAAGTGTGATAGCGCCATAGGATAACCATCTTAAGTAATCTACCCTTAGCTCTTTTTTGGGATGAGAGTATTCAGGGAACTGACTATGTTTCTTGACAGGGCGTAACAGCTTTAGCGTTGCATCACGGGAATGAATTGTAGAACTATGGCTCGTTATTCCAAGCACTCGACCTCCTGCTCATGGGTTACGTGTTTAGAACTCAGCTCCACCTACCGAGCTATGGCAGCCCCGTAGTGCCACTAACCCTTACGCATTGCCTACTGCACTAGTATGCACAGGTTGACTGAAGGGATTTCGATTTTTCACCCAACTAGATGAATCCATTGTTCTCTTCGAGAAAGGAGGAAGGGTACGCGTTGTCTGTTGAGGAGGAGGTTAAAATGCCCGTATTTAAGCACGGTGGATGTCATCATCATTACGGGAGAAAATATTGTAACATTGACTTCGTTGATTTGGACACGTTATGTATGTCATCAGAGTTACTCCCAAACTCTTAACAGATCGTTTGCAGTGGAACCGGTTTGAAAAATCGGAAAGGCTCTTAGCGCATTACATAGTGTCGTGGAATAAAGAACAGTGCTAATTTCTCATTTGTTTATGCCTTGCGACTCTGAATGGTGTTTGATTCATCATGCGACTTAGTGGCTTGATACGTCAGAAGATGAACGGCTCCAAATCAAATCAATTGGCGGCTAACCTGTTTTTCTCGTTTCTTTTAAGTGAGGAGTAAGATGAAAGTAATGAGTACTCTGATTGTATGTTTGAGATTGCTTATAATAACCCACTTGTTTTTGTCCTCATTCTTTTTCCTCTTCATGTATCGCGCTTTCTGATATATTATTTTGCATGGTGCATCTCTTGGCACCAATCTTGTACCAAGTTTTTTTCCAAATAAAATAAAAATAATCAGTTTCTTAGTTAAAGATGACGGTACTGCAGTTACTGCTTGTTCATAATAGTGGTTCAGCGAACATTTCCTTGGCGAAAGCTGAGCATTTTAGCTTTTTAACCATGCTCACTGCTCTTTGGTACATCGTTTGGATTATAAATCTTTGCTCTGTAGCTTTTAGGTACTTATTCTCTTGGGCCTTTATGTTGGATTGCACTGCTATGGAAATATACACCTGCTTACTTGTTTCTGCATCAAGGTCCTAAATCATGAGTTCCATCCTTTCCAGGACATCTGTATCGTACTGTCTATCACTAGGTGTATTTGTGAGCATAGTCTCGAAATACAGTCACACTTATCAATCTTATTGAACTTTTTCTTGTAAGCGGTATATGCGTTGTGCTATAATCGTTTGGGTAATTATAGATTTGCGGGTAAAGGATTTAGGTTGCTGGACTCGGAGTGCTGGTTTTAATTGACTGCATGTTGGTTGGTTCTCAGTCAGAATAACACTTAACAACATGAACCGAATGGAAGCATTGCACTTTAAATCATCTAAATTGTTTTGAAATGTTTTGATTTTGCAGTGTGCTTGTGCACTAATTCGAGCTTCATACATCAAACAGTTTTTGTCAACACACTTTGAGTATGCTCATAATTGGTCATTCATACTCCCTACTAGATACTATACAAACAAATGTAATGTCCAGCAGCACTGTAATTGACCCTTACGGCAAAGTTGGTAAGAACTTGTTCGAACATATTTTCAGATATGCTGTGTTGTGAATTTACTGTTACGCTAAAAGGGTAAAGCAGTATTCCCATTATTTTTCTTGATTGAAGTTTCTAAACAGTAAGAATAGTAATCAGGAAGTAAAAGAATTATAGTGAAAGGTTTGACAACTATTTTACAAAGACCTGCTGTTGCCATCTCTCAACAGTGGTTCGAAGAGTCTTTTCGCTGAACCAAGGTAGCAATCACATATGGTACTTATTCTTCGATATTAACATGTGACTTGGAATTGCTGCCTTAACGGCCCGTGTTGCCATATCTGATGTCAACACACCAAGATAACAAAATAAAAGGCGGAGAGAGCGATCGAAAATGGCAAAGTCGTGAAGAGGCAATGACAGAAATAGTAATAAAATCGGCAAGATGGTCACAGTAAGGATAACGAGTGGATACATCTGTGCCAGAGATAAATCCTGAGCCATATCATCTAGAGTTTAGAAATCGCCGTCATCACGTGGTTCACAAACAGAAGGTCTACCTTCCCCCACACAGCTTAAGCCAACAGTCAGAGACTTTATGAACTGATGCCATGTCTTCGTCTTGATCTCAAACCTTTTTCCAACCCGAACCTACATCAGCTAACAATGTGTGACAGGGCGGATGGTGACTAAGTATGCGTAACACATGTCCCAGGTACCTGAGTGCATGAAAGTCCACAACCTCATCGACTGACTTTCCTCTTTTCCCTAGAACTTCACGCCTGACTTCTACGTTGCTGACGTGGTGACAGCATGATACACCGTGTATGCTACCAAGATAACCTTTTCGTGATTTCTACCTTTATGGCTGTTTCACAGCCATAGTGTAGAACAGAGCGAGCTGCAGCGTAGCACGCTAGACCCTCTATAGGCAAACGGACATCATGATCTTGCTATAAGTGGTGAAGGCCAAGCGAGCCTTTTGTATCCGTTCCCAAATTTCGTTGATCACTCACCCACTGAGGTTGATTCGGCTTCTCGAATAAATGGAATGTTCAGTGAGCTCAGCTATCTTAATTGTTGTTGACTGTGGCACTGATTTGTTGATGGGTAACGGAATTGTTACACGTATGTATAATGCTTCTGTTGGGACTCAACGCAATTTTCGATCATTGTTTGGATCCTGCTTTGCTGGTGAGTATCAACTAATGAAATAGGAAGGTTCACTGTTTTATCTGAATGCTTGCTTGGTGTACAACACCAATGGAAAAGCATCACAATCGGAAATTTTTTTCTTGATGACCACTTGACAAAATGTTCAGTTGATGCTTGTCGGCAATGAAGATTCTATAACGTGAAACTGCTTATTTTGTGGTGACCAGTAACTGCAAGTTTAAATACATTATGTCTGTAACATTTTAGAAGATTTGTACAACCCAAATGGATATATGTTCATACTTTGGACTGAGATAGACACTTACTGTTTATGATACTAATCTGTTGCCAGATGGAATTAGGTCAAGCTGTGTTTGTTTACTGTGACGCGTTGCTTTAACGTCGAATTCCAAAGCTAATGAACCATATCATCGATGTTTGTGGTAACTTGTTATTTTTAGTTGACGAAACTATTGTTCATATACAAACTTAGGAGGGCTTAGATGTGTGGAAGAAGCCGGGCTGTGCACTTCACTGCCTTATGGTAGTTGCGTTATGCTGTATGAAGTAAGCGATGTGATTCACTCCAAGCAGTCTCTCATTGTTGATTTGATCCGCTTAGGGGGATGGAAACTTCCTGTATGATGTCCCCGAGATCTGAGAACCAATGGTCTGTTACTCTTGGTCATATGTGTAAAATTGGTCACAGTAACGTAGATGTGTACTTTTTGTCACGTTCGACATCTTGAATACTTTCTTAGCTTATACATACTTACTATATCAGTTTCTATACACTTTTGTTTACCTGAGTAACAATTTTGAATCCTCTCCCGCCTTGCATGCTGGTCAGGTGTGGCATCTCGAACTGATTCTTTTTCGACGTCGATTTATCTGATCATAATATGGGATTGCGTTCTACTATGGTACGCACGTTCTGTTCCCGTATGCTACTAGTAACTATGAGTTAATCGATGTCTTGATTTAGCTGCCTTGATCATTTTTCTTCACTGATCCTACTTCCAGTAAAATGTCGTAGTAATTGTAATGGTGAGTCGCTGTGTATGCGACATCTGGGTTAACTCAGTGGACGTTTACAATCTGATCATGAAGCTTACATCTTGGCTAAGACTATGCCTAGTCTCAATACTGCCCACTCTGGCTCAGCCAAATATGGACAACTGTGAAACATCAGTGGCCAGAAACTATGGGTTTTTTCCACCCTCAAAAATCATACAGAAGGGCAGAATAGAGTGATGCCAAGTTATTTCATCGCCCTGATAGATGGTAAATTCTAAACGTGTTTATGATAGCAAAGCTGAGATTTTGTTAACAATCCCATAAATGTTGGTGCAAGTCCTCAGATTAGCGCGGTAACTAACGTAATCAACCTTTTCGCTCTCTAAATTAAGGGTTTGTACCGATCATTCCTATGGCATCATATCCTTCACAAGTTCGGAAAGCATACCTAATGCGCACAATTTTCCTTCCTGTAATTTCTGCTCTATCTACTGTCAACTGCGATTCCTATAGTCTGATATCCTGATACCTGTTATATCTTTAGCTTGACTTGGAAATGCTGCAATCTAAAGATCCAAATACTGTGATGCTTTCATCCAATGATGCAAATGATTAGTGGAACGAGGTTACTTACACAAGTGGTGCGTCTTGAGAAACTTTACTTTGGAACTATATAAAGCACCAAATCATCAGTTACTTATAACAAATCGGTTGATTCACTGGCTGATTGAGTCAATGTGGAACCTCGCACACAGATGCACTGCATAAAGCTGCCACAATTCACAGCAGTACACAAAGAGCAGGTGAATAGGAAAGTAGTGATATCAAAGCAGATGATGTGATAGAATAAACAGTATGAAGATAGAAGTAATTGAAAATTCATGCTTAAGAATATGTGAAGGACTGAATACTTCTGCGCTACTGTGATTGATTTTCAGTCATGCTATCAATTGTCCCCAACTACTCATTTTTGTCGGCTCGCGGAACCAAATCAGGTAGTCTACATCTATCCATACAACTCACCAACAGTCTTAGATTTCATGAACTAGTGCCGTGTCTTAGTCTCTTCCCCTGAACCCTCTTCCAACCTATTCTAACTTCCCTTAACATGGCACGTTAAGGTAGTTGATGACTTGGGATTCCCAACACACGTTCAAGCCATCTGAGTCGATGAAGGTTTACAACCTTGTCAGTCGATTTGCCTTTCTTGCCTAGTATTCGTCTAATGTCAATACTGCTTACACGGTGATTCCAACAAACTCTAGCAATCCTACCGAAACTAGCCGCTTCACGTCCTCTACTTTAAACGACCATGTCTCACAGTCGTACAACAAACGGACTGCAGCATAATATGCTCATCCTTTGATGGATAGTCGTATGTCTCGTCGGCGCTACAGACGACCCAAGTTGGCAAATACTAAACGGGCCTTGTGTATTCGGTCTGAGATGTCGTCAAGACGCAGCCAATTCGGGCTGATGCAACTCATGCTTTCACAACAGTCAGATATCAACTTGGGACCCTGGCAATACTGCATAATGGTTTTAGCCCCCACATCTTAAGGCAAGATAAGAGGAAACCATACGGAGTAGAAGTTGGCTAGTCAATAATCGTAGCAAAGTTATAGAAAAAGAGTTGAAAAAGTGTTGAAGTGAGACAGAGGTTAAAATAAGTTTTGGATGCATCCGAACCACTGAAGTGTATTCTGAGTAATATCACCTAGAATTTCAAATCATTAGAACTATTGTGAAGTTGCCACCTACCTGACAGCTCACGTCTCCATGCGCAGGATAAACGTAACTGTGCCTGCTTAATACGTGTTGAGACGCCTCAGTCAATGAATGTCCATAATCTCATAAACTGACTTATCTTTTACCTGAAGCCCTGCGCATAACTTCCCCGTTACTCATATTGTGGTTATACGACACCTTATCAGTTTTGCGATGATGACGGCGGCTGAGCATCTGTAGCTTTTTGCTATCGATCTTTAACTACTACCTAGTTGGTCTTTCTTAAGGGTAGATTGATTTTGATATAGAGCTGGAGCAACCTAAACGTAAGTTTACGAAACGTCCTCGCAAGTATCGCGGATAGTGGTAGTGGCGAAAGCCAGAGAGTTGGAGAAGGCATCGGCGTTGAGGAACACTCGACAAGTATTCAGGCGAAGAAGACGATGGTCAGTGAAATCATCACCGAAAGAGATGGGACTCTCGTGACCTCCTAGGACAGGCAGCAAGTGTTTTGAAGCACATTTCAACTGGCCCTCAGCAACGCTTTAGTACCCCCAACATCCGGTCTGAACCTGAAAGTGACGTTATGTCAGTCGTCCAACTCCTCTTGAAAGTGAGAAAGCTGTATCGAAGGTGAAACGATGAAAAGCAGTTGAACTTATCAGTATGTTTTATAATGTTGATGGGTAATATTTATGTGTGGATTCGATGTAACAACATAGCACAAATTAGAAGTTATCTTGAACTATATATTTAGTCATTTCAAAACTGATAACTAATGATTTGCGTGCATCATTTCATAGTAACCAAACAGTTCTTTATAAAAAATTTTTCTGATAAGCTAAACCTTTTTTAAAATTGAGATCATCTGATTGAGCTTTTAATTGTTGCATATGTTTTATTTTAATCGTATTTGGAGTTATTGCACGTGAAGAGTTTACCTGTTGTATAATTCTCGTATTCATAATTTTGATCTTCACTAGTCACCAATGTTCATTTACCAGAGATGCATTTCAATGTAAAATATCGATAGAATTTCTCAAATCTGGTCTCCACCACACGTTGCACAAATAAAACGTACTTATTGTATGTTCATTGAAAATGGGCCAGATGTCCCAATTATTAGTTGTATCCTTTACGCAACAGTCGGGTCTGCATATCACAATGGCTCGATGAGCTGTTCTGGTAGAAGCCTTGTTCTGTCCAGGTCCTACCATACCAGAAAGGTCTATTTGAAAAAAAGCAGTTACCATTTTTGTACCAATTACTACACTATTATACT